CGTCCTTGAACGGACATAGAAAAGTACCTGGGCTGGTGAAAAAGTGGGGATATCTACTTCGCATATCGGACTCGGACTCCCAAGTAGCTACCTCAATAGGCTGACCTCTCCATTGCACTCGAACTGAAGGATAACTCTTTGATCTCAACAGGCGAACTTGCCGGGCTAGAATTGCCACCGGCTCCTCCTCGTAAGTTAAATCCTTGTCCAACTGGACAGTGCTGAAATCTAACACGTGGGATGGGTCACCATGATATTTCTGGAGCATAGACACATGGAATACCGGATGAACTGAGGATAACCCTGGAGGCAACGCAAGTCTATAGGCTACCTCCCTCATTCTCTCGAGGATCTCAAATGGCCCGATATATCTAGGGCTCAACCTTCCCTTCTTTCCAACTCTCATAACACCCTTCGTGGGCGATACCCGAAGCAATATTCTTTCTCCAACCATGAATGCAATATCACGAACTTTACGGTCGGCATAACTCTTTACCTAGACTGAGCTGTGCGAAGTCGATCCTGAACAATCTTGACCTTATCCAAGGCATCTTGTACCAAATCGGTACCCAATAACTGAGCCTCTCCTGGTTTAAACCAGCCAACTGGCGAACGACATCGCCTTCTGTATGATGCCTCATATGGAGCCATCTGAATGCTCGACTAGTAGCTGTTATTGTAGGCAAACTCCGCTAACGGCAAGAACTGATCCCAAGAACCTCCAAAGTCAATAACACAGGCGCGGAGCATATACTCCAAGATCTAAATAGTACGCTCGAACTGCCCGTCCGTCTGAGGATGGAATGTTGTGCTCAACTCAACCCGCGTACCCAACTCACGTTGTACTGCCCTCCAAAAGTGCGAGGTAAACTGCATTCCTCGATCTAAAATAATAGACACGGGTACCCCGTGAAGGCGGACAATCTAACGAATGTAAATTTTAGCTAACCTTTCTGAAGAATAGTTAGTTGTCACTAGAATGAAATGTGTTGACTTGGTCAACCTGTCCACAACGACCCCAAACTGCATCAAATTTTCTTTAAGTCCATGGGAGTCCAACAACAAAACCCATAGTGATACGCTCCCATTTCCATTCAGGAATTTCTAACTTCTGAACCAACCTACCAGGTCTCTGATGCTCGTACTTAACTTGCTGACAATTCAGACATCGAGCTACATATGCAACTATATCCTTTTTCATTCTCCTCCACCAATAATGTTGCCGCAAAACTTGATACATTTTGGCGATACCTGGATGAATAGAATACCTAGAACTGTGTGCTTCTTCAAGAATTAATTCACGAAGCCCATCCACATTAGGCACACAAATACGACCCTGCATTCGCAGAACTCCATCTTCCCCCACAGCAACCTGTTTGGCATCACCGTACCGCATCGTGTCCTTAAGGACAAGTAAATGAGGATCATCATATTGCCTCTCTCTGATGCACTCATATAAAGAAGACCGAGCGACTGTGCAAGCTAGAACGGGTCTCAGCCCATTTTTTATATTTCCACGGCACCTCGTGCCCATAATTAAATCATCATATTTTTCCGGCACTTCGTGCTCTCATTTCATATCACAACTCCACGGACAACTCACGTGCCAAATATCATTATCATTTCATCACAGCACCTCGTGCCCACATTTCATATCTCAACTGCACGAACAATTCACGTGCCAGATATCCTCAATATTTACTCACGGCACCTCGTGCCCACATTTCAGTTTATAATTCGCCTGAAAATAGCCACATGCTCTCAATTTCAACATAAATCAGATTGTTATCAATTTACCAACAACAAGACAAATTGCACAAGGTATGAAAATAAACACAAGAAAATCACAACATCTCATGAAAATCATCAACACCATAACCCCACATCACCACATGTCGTCCCCGACAATAGCCACCCTTATCGCTCCTATTGCCACCCTTATCACTCCTAAAGCCACTCTTATCGCTCCGCCCAGACAATATCAATAGCCACCCTTATCGCTCCTATTGCCACCCTTATCGCTCCTATAGCCACCCTTATCGCTCCGCCCGGACAATATTCCAACAAACACAACAACAGTGAAATGCCACCCTTATACCCACATAATGTCAACGGTGAAATGCCACCCTTATCTCCCCAAAATAATAACTCACACAATATAACAATTTACACGTAAAATTAACACGACAATATAATAAAATCAATTCATATCATAATTTGCCCAATGGCCACAACCAGATTCTAAAGATATAACAAAATCAATTAATTTCACAACAAATAGCCCAAGGCTCCACACAATGTATATAACACCCAAAAACAATCAATAGAGATATAAATTACTCAGCATAAAGCAAAACCTTTATTAATGTAAATTTAGATAATTATATTAACACTTATTCTTAAGCTCACTTAAATTAATTATTTGTATAAGAAAATTCATATTGGAATTAATTTCCAAGAAATATTAAACCAACAATACTCACGAAATTTCATAAATATTTCAAGTAACAATCACATCAAATTATCATATAAAAATAAATTCAATAATAAGAATTTAGGCATGGCAAACAGATGATTTAATAATTTTTCACAATTTTTCAATTTACTACACAATAATGCCTAAGACTTTAATTCAATGAATTTTACACGTATAAGCCTGAGTACATACTCGTCACCTCACGTACACGGTTTTTCACATTTCACAAATGGCACATAAGACTCAATGCCTAAGGGGTAATTCCCCCACTCGAGGTTAAGCAAGACACTTACCTTTTTAAAGTTAGGCCGATATTCCAAAATAGTCTTCTTGCTTAAATTAACCTCCGGACAGCTCAAATCTATCCAAATTAATTGTATAACTTCATTAAAATTTATCGGAAATAATTTTGGATAATAATACGTCAACTTAAAATTTTATTCCAAAAAAGTCAATGCGGTGCCCGCCCCTCGGAACCCCACATAATTTTCATGAAATCCGAACACCCATTCCGATACGAGTTCAACCATACTAATTTTATCGAATTCCAATAACAACTCGACTTCCAAATCTTAAATTTTCGCTTTTGGAAGATTTTACAAAAATCTTGATTTTCCTCCAATAAATTCGAATTAAATGATAGATTTAAAGACATAATCATGGAAATTAATCAAAAGTGGATAAGAATCACTTATCCCAAACACCCACGCAAGAATCTCTCCAAATATCGCCTTCTACCGAGCTCCCAATTAGATTTTGAGTTATGAACTCAAACCCCAATTTTTGGGACTTTTAATTCTGCCCATATAGGCTTTCTTCGCGTTCGCGATCTCTGTCTCTCGTTCGCGAAGGCAAGAAACTCGCTGCCTCAAATTATTCTTCGCGTTCGCGTTACCAGCGTCATGTTCGCGAAGGCCTGCCATGTATGTCATCGCGTTCGCGTTCAAGGTCTCGCGTTCGCGATGCACTCAAGTCCTACTGCTTCGCGTTCGCGATTGAAGCTTCGCGTTCGCGAAGGATGATGACTCCAGGCCCAGTCCTTTCCTTCCTTCTATGCATTCACGACTGGCCCCTCGCGTTCGCGTAGTTTCTTCAGGCATACCTTCGCATTCGCGAGCCCTCCTTCGCGTTCGCGAATACCAAATCCCACCAGCCTCAAAGCTCCTCTTCGCGTTCGCGAAGAAGGAAGTCAGATACCAGATACAGCAGTTCCGAAACAGCCCGAAATGATCCGAAACTATCCCGAAACACACCCGAGGCCCCCGGGACCTCAACCAAATACACCAACAAGTACTAAAACATCATACGAACTTAGTCGAATTCTCAAATCAACTCAAACAACATCAAAATGACGAATCGCACCCCAAATCAAAATCTATGAATTGTGAACTTTCAAATTCTATAACTTGTGCCGAAACACATCAAATCAATCCGGAATGACTTCAACTTTTGCACACAAGTCATAATTGACATTATGGACCTACTCCAACTTTCGCAATCGGATCCCGACCCCGATATCAAAAAGTCCACTTCCGGTCCAATTCTCCAAAAATTCGACTTTCACCATTTCAAGCCTAAATTGGCTATATACCTCAAATTCACAGTCCGGACACGCTCCTAAGTCCAAAATCACCCAACAGAGCTAACGGAACTGACAGAACTCCATTCCGGAGTCGTCTTCACACAGTTCCGACTACAGTCAAAATCCTAAGACTTAAGCTTTTGTCTTAGGGACTAAGTATCCCCTAATCACTCCGAATCATCCGTAAATCAAACTCGACCACACCCGCGGGTCATAATACATATTGCGAGGCTACTCAAGACCTTAAATCACTGAACGGGGCGTAAATTCTTAAAACGACAAGTCGGGTCATTACACTTTCCTTCTGTGATACTCGGACAAGAAATTCGACTTCAATAATTATCTACAAAAAGATTCATAAATAGTCATGTGGTTTGCGCATTTCATAGATAGGCCTGTTACTAAAACCCTGTAACTGAACGATCATCAGTAATATTGTCTGAATCGATCCATAAAGTGAACAAATTATTAGTTCTAAAATTCATAATACTGTACCACACAAACGACTGATTGCAGTTAAGAGAACTGATTTTATTAGAGAACAAATTGGTTCATAATAAAATAATCCAGATCAAACATGCAGTAAATCTCACTGAAATCCGATTTAGAAGTCCAGAGGAAATTGGACTCGCCACATTGCTAAAAGATCATTCACTATTTTCCCCATTTTGAAGTGCACATACATTAGGTTTAGCTGCAAGTATCTTCGCTAGAAAATGAAAATAATAAGAGTCCGCTAAGATCAAAATCATCTCAGCAGATTTGCAGAAATGTCAAATTACAGCCCAACAAGGAATAATGAAAGAACTAATGAAGTTCAAATTGAACTAACATAGCTTAATTATATATTCCTCATTTAAGTCATAATTGGACTAATATTGTTTAATCATATATTCCTCATTTAAGTCAAAATTGGAGTAATATAGCTTAATCACATATTCCTCATTTTCTCTTTGGCTTCTTTGATAGCTTCCCTGATAGTTTTCCCTTCTTAACTCCCAAGTATCTGTCAATCTCCTCGTCACCATCATCTCCGCCTCTGTGTTTCCTTTTGCCACCACTTTCTTTGATTTTCTGTATCAACATAGATTGGATGTTAATTATCTAATAACTCCTTTGAGCAATGTATTACCAAGAAAACATGCATCAGCGAAAATCCTCCATAAACTACTAACAACCTATATAATAATGTATCAGCATCAGGAAACATGAGCAACTTCAACATTTCATGGAGTAAGTCGCATACATGTCACTTCTCACAACATTCCACATCATCTCCAACTGAGAAATGTACATAACAGTCACATGTTCCGAATAACAGCTCTACATCCAGAACACACTCAAAAAGACAAAATATGCTCACACTATCTCTACCTTGTTACCTCTCTGACAGTAACACCTGAGCCTAATGAAAATGGTGAAAGAGGAGAATTCAACTATAATATTAAGTGCTAAAAAGGGAAACTAATAATAAAAATTAGGGCTCATTTCACTTGATTTAATTGGCTAAATTTAAACAGTCTTTAACCCGTGCAGGCAGAAGTTGACCACCTAGTGATTGCCGCCTACTGAAGTACACTCTCCTCCTCCCGCAAAGGGGAAACAAACAAGGAGACGAAAATTACCATCTGTGAGATCCTCTTGGCTTCTGTTACATGCTCCAAGAGTAGCAAAACCTCCTCTTCCTCCGCAGGATACTCAGGTAGTTTCTTCCCTGAAGATTATCAATTATTAGTTTGGAAAACAACATGTACCAGACAGACTAGAAGTGCTAGAATAAGAATATGTTAGAATCTCGAAAATATAGTATTTCTGTATTTTCATACCAATAAGCTTTTCTATCTGTTTATACCACTCCACCTCATACTGATTCACTAATGATATAGCAACCCCAGAACGTCCTGCTCGTGCAGTTCTTCCTACCCTATGTATATAATCCTGCTGGCCATGCATACAGTGATAAGCTTGTTTACCCGAAAAATCGGATATAGTTGAATTTATAAGTAGTTCTAAGGATATGTGATATAACTTGACATAAATCATACGTAGAAGTGAAAATATTTAGATTCTTGACTATAGAAATATGATATAAATTATTGAACTAGAAGAGTGAGTATGCTGAGTAAAACAAGCTTAAGAGATTTATTTTTCAATAAATAGAAGTAGTCTTTTCTTACAATGTGTGAACCTGCTTGTGCTTACAAGGATTCCCCCCTTTATAGTAGAGAGATCTTACTTTCTTTATAATAAAAAATATATAGTGGAGAACCCATGATGAATTGTCTCTTCCTCGATTCCTGCCAAGATTCTCTCCCCTAGTGCGGTTGCAACGGCTCCTGTCTGCGAGCTCGATATCGGCTCGAGCTCGGTATTGGGTCGAGCCCTTAGCCCTGAGTTCGAGTTCGACATTCGGGGTGAGTACCAATCGGTCTGTGCATCTCCGACAAACTTCTCGTTGCCCTGCGGTTCGATTTGGTCATGGGCTTGATAATGATACTGAGCCGATTCCTCGATCGGTCTTGGAGTTCGAGGCTTGTTTGTACTATCTTCGGAACTCGTCTCGATCTCTCACTTCGATCGCTTACCGTTAGAACTCGATCAAACGTATGGTGGCCAAAATCTATTTCGACCTTATACAGATAGTCCCCTCGTTTCTCAGGAAGAATGTGGTGAGAAGCGATATGATTTTTGACGGCTCGATCGGATTATAAGCTGACGTTTTCACTAGGCTCGATCGTGACGTATGTGATAGCTGTCCCATCGATTTAGTCTTTCAAGGTATTTAATACACGTCAGACGGTGGTCGGCCACCGCTGATACTGAACCGCCACGGTATAAACTTATAAATAACCCTTCCATTTATTATTTACCACTTTTACATCTTCAATCTCCCAAATTTTCTTACTCTTTTCGCCTCTATTTCGCCGCTTGTAGAGACACCTTCGTCAGCATTTGGCACCATCAATCTTTCATCTTCCTTTGCTTTTCTTTCTCTTACATCAATGGCAAAAACTTCAAAAACCGTACCTCAGAAGGAGAAAGCTTCCTCTTCATGGTCGTCCGGCGACAAGGCACCGGCGGAGCTGCTTCCCCATGAGTATGTTCCTGGCCCGTGTACTCTGAAGATCGATTTTAAGGTTGAAAATCCTTCGTCAGTTCCGGGTCGATGTGAGCATGTGTCGATGTACATGTGCTCGATAATAGAGGGACATCTCGAGGCTGTGAGGAAAGACTGCAATTGGGGTCCAGAGGTTGTGTTGCAAATTCCCTCCCCCGAAGAGAGCGTTATCACTCATGTGGAGGGGTTTTTAAGTGTTTGTACTTACCCCTTCACGTTGGGTCCCGTCGACCCAGTGATCACTGATTTGCTCTGCAGCTTCTTTGCAGCCAAAAGGACGAGATTATAAAGGACCTCCAAGCAGATTTGACTAAGACTCGTGAAGAAGAGGCCAAACTAGATAAGAAGGTGAGCCTCGTTCTGTTAGAGTATGGGTTTGACCTAACTGTGGAAGCTAACCCTTCGTTATCTCAGCTGCAGCAAAAGGTTGAAAAGATTGGGTTGCTTCGGGAAGAAGTCGATCAAATCAAGGCCGAATGTGACCGGTGGAAGGAGACTATCGACCGCCTGGCTGCAGAAAAAGAAACCATCTTGGCCAAATTATTATCGGCAGATGTTCAACTTCGAAGCGTCAAGCAAAAAGGTTCGGCTCAGGCCAAGAGGATCGAGGAGCTTGAAACAAGGCTTGCTGAGGCCAAGGTGGAGGTTGAGTCGTCGAAAGTCATGGCAGACAAGTCCATTGCCGTGTATCGGGCCGATGCTGAGGCTGCTCAAATGGAGGCAAGAGAGGCAGCGGATACTGCCGATACTCGAGCGCATTTGGTTGCCGAACTTGCTAAGTGTTGGTCTCGGAGGGAGACCATCGAGGAGATACATGCTTGAGGTTTTGACTTTGCCGAAGAGATAAAAAGGGCTAAAGAACTCGAAGTTGATGCTGAAGCCTTGGCTCCTGATGGCGATAATGATGATAGTAGCAAGAGCGGGTCCGAAGATGGGGGGGAGCCCGGTGGAGAAGAGACCGCTCTCGATGAGAACCTAGAAGCTTAGCCCTTAGCTTCTTCTATGTTGCATTTATTTATGTAAACCATCTTTGTATATCTATACAAATATCTTTTTCTTTTAGTGACTTGCTTCGTGAAGATTTCATTCATGCCTTGCGGATGTTTTTATGAGGATTTAGGTGATTTCATCAAATTCGGCCTTCGTAGCCTTTATGGCCGAGTGAGTGTTTGCTCGAGCTCGAAATAAGATAGCCCTTAGGCTTTGATAATTGAGTGAGTGATTGTTTCGAACTCGAACTCAAAATATATTAGCCCGTAGACTTTTATGATCGAGTGAGTGATTGCTCGAACTCGAAGTAAGATAGCCCTTAGGCTTTAATAATTGAGTGAGTGATTCGAACTCCCGTAGGCGTAATGGTCGAGCGAATGCTTGCTCAAACTCGAAATAAAAGTAGCCCGTAGGCTTAGTAGTTGAGTGAATGATTCGAACTCGAAGTAATGTAGCCCGTAGGCGTAATGGTCGAGTGAGTACTTGCTCGAACTCGAAATAAAAGTAGCTCGTAGGCTTAGTAGTCGAGTGAATGATTCGAACTCGAAGTAATGTAGCCCGTAGGCGTAATGGTCGAGTGAGTGCTTGCTCGAACTCGAAATAAAAGTAGCTCGTAGGCTTAGTAGTCGAGTGAATGATTCGAACTCGAAGTAATGTAGCCCGTAGGCGTAATGGTCGAGTGAGTGCTTGCTCGAACTCGAAATAAAAGTAGCCCGTAGGCTTAGTAGTCAAGTGAATAATATGAACTCGAAGTAATGTAACCCGTAGGCGTAATGGTCGAGTGAGTGCTTGCTCGAACTCAAATTAAAAGTAGCTCGTAGGCTTAGTAGTCGAGTGAATGATTCGAACTCGAAGTAATGTAGCCCGTAGGCGTAATGGTCGAGTGAGTGCTTGCTCGAACTCAAATTAAAAGTAGCTCGTAGGCTTAGTAGTCGAGTGAATGATTCGAACTCGAAGTAATGTAGCCCGTAGGCGTAATGGTCGAGTGAGTGCTTGCTCGAACTCAAATTAAAAGTAGCTCGTAGGCTTAGTAGTCGAGTGAATGATTCGAACTCGAAGTAATGTAGCCCGTAGGCGTAATGGTCGAGTGAGTGCTTGCTCGAACTCAAATTAAAAGTAGCTCGTAGGCTTAGTAGTCGAGTGAATGATTCGAACTCGAAGTAATGTAGCCCGTAGGCGTAATGGTCGAGTGAGTGCTTGCTCGAACTCAAATTAAAAGTAGCTCGTAGGCTTAGTAGTCGAGTGAATGATTCGAACTCGAAGTAATGTAGCCCGTAGGCGTAATGGTCGAGTGAGTGCTTGCTCGAACTCAAATTAAAAGTAGCTCGTAGGCTTAGTAGTCGAGTGAATGATTCGAACTCGAAGTAATGTAGCCCGTAGGCGTAATGGTCGAGTGAGTGCTTGCTCGAACTCAAATTAAAAGTAGCTCGTAGGCTTAGTAGTCGAGTGAATGATTCGAACTCGAAGTAATGTAGCCCGTAGGCGTAATGGTCGAGTGAGTGCTTTCTCGAACTCGAAATAAAAGTAGCCCGTAGGCTTAGTGATCGAGTGAGTGCTTGCTCGAACTCGATCCTGTTTTCATAATGAATCTTGGATATAAGATATCGGTAGAGCTTTCTTTGCAAGTCATTATACATGCGTTCATGTTTTGCGTCAGGGCTCAGGCCAACTACATGAGCATGGTTCGTTTCGACCATTTGGCTCTTACAACGTTTCCTGCCGAGACACTGTTCATGAAATAATGAAGTAACTTCCTTTGCACCGAACTTGATAATCGTCACAGATACTTTCCATGATAGAGCACCCTGAGTATTCGAGGTTGATTGTAAAGAGGCCTCGGATACTCAGCAGTAGTATCATTTTAGGCGTTACACGTTCCAATTGCTTGGGGGATTTTTGCTATATGGCCGGTATCGATCTCTGGTCGACTTTTGTTTGGTAGTTCTTTTAGATCTAGAAATCAACTGGTCATCTTCGACTCTTATTTTGGATTGATATCGATTGTGCACATCGGTCCAAGTAATATCTGGGTATTCGATCAGATTATGCTTCAGCCGCCGTGAAGCCATCGAGCTTCGCTCGTTCAGACCTTGAGTGAAAGCTTGAATAGCTTAATCATCTGTGACTGGTGGCAGATCCATTCGTTCCATTTGAAAACGAGATACGAACTCCCTTAGCATCTCGTTATCCTTTTGTGTTACTTTGAACAAGTCCGACTTTCTGGTCTCGACCTTCATTGCTCCGGCATGTGCTTTTATGAAACAATCTGCAAGTGTAGCAAAAGAATCAATAGAGTTAGATGGTAAATTATGATACCATACCATTGCCTCCTTTGACAGGGTTTCACCAAATTTTTTTAATAATACGGATTCGATCTCATCATCTTCCAAATCATTTCCCTTGATGGCACACGTGTAAGAAGTGATATGCTCGTTGGGGTCGGTCGTTCCGTTATATTTGGGAATTTCGGGCATACGAAATTTCTTGGGGATTGGTTTTGGGGTCGCGCTCGAGGGAAAAGGTTTTTGCACGAATTTTTTGGAATCCAACCCTTTTATCATTGGTGGAGCTCCCGGGATCTTATCGACCCTAGAGTTATATGTTTCTACTTTTTTATCGTTGGCTTCGACTCGCTTTGCGAGTTCCTCGAGTAATTTAGCAATTTCGTGAGTAGTCCCCGATTCTTGCTTATTTGACTTCACTATGGCTGGCTCCGTTCTGTGGGTGATTTCTCGAAGCGGATTGGGCTCCGGCCAGCTTTTGTACCTGAGTTTGGTTCTGCAACTGAGCTATCACTATTTGCTGGGCTTGTAACATCTCGAATATCATCCGTAAGCTGACTCCGATCTCCTCTACGTTATGGGTGTCTCGAGCTACGGATCGAGTTTTGCCCTGAATGCTCTTTTCCGGTTCGGAGCGTTGGTTCGCCTCACGAGCCACTTGTGAATTGACATCCAGCGGTACTTCGACTCGAGCTTCAGTGACATCGTTAAATGGCCTTCCGGCCCTGGGTATCAAGTTGTTGGTTTCGTCTTGAAGGTCGGCTTCGTGGTCGATAGGTAAAGCCATCAATCGAGGGTTTGCCATTGCCGATTTGAAGTTGTAAACTAGTATGTATTGTAGATTTGTATCAAACAATCACTGTTACCCCTAGCCCCACGGTGGGCGCCAAACTGTTTACCCGGAAAATCAGATATAGTTGCATTTATAAGTAGTTATAAGGATATGTGATATAGCTTGACATAAATCGTATGTAGAAGTGGAAATATTTAGATTCTTGGCTATAGAAATGGGATATAAATTATTGAACTAGAAGAGTGAGTATTCTGAGTAAAACAAGCTTAAGATATTTATTCTTTAATAAATAGAAGTAGTCTTTTCTTACAATATGTGAACCTGCTTGTGCTTACAAGGATTCCCTCCTTTATAGTAGATGGATCTTACTTTATTCATAATAAAAAATATATAGTGGAGAACCCATGATGAATTATCTCTTTCTCGATTCCTGCCAATATTCTCTCCCCTAGTGTGGTTGCAATGACTCCTGTCTGCGAGCTCAATACCGGCTCGAGCTCGGTATTGGGTCGAGCCCTTGGCCTTGAGTTTAAGTTCGATATTCGGGGTGAGTGCCAATTGGTGTGTGCATCTCCGACAACCTTCTCGTTGCCCTGCAGTTCGATTTGGTCATGGGCTTGATAATGATACCGAGCCTATTCCTCGATCGGTCTTGGAACTCGAGGCTTGTTTGTACTGTCTTCGGAACTCGTCTCGAGCTCTCACTTAGATCGCTTACCTGTGATGACCCAAAATGTCATCTTTAAATTTAATAAGTAATTCTGTGTTCTAAGACCTTGAAAAACATTATTTATCATTCCTCGACTTGCATGCGCAGTCTGTATAATTTTCCGAAAAGTTTTCATGTGAAAAATGGATTAAAATGTGAAATAGAGCCTTAAAACTCAATTGAGTTGACTTTGGTCAACCTTTTGAGAAAACGGACCCGGATCAGTGTTTTGACAGTTCCGGTAGCTCTGTATCGTGATTTGGGACTTGGGCGTATGTCCGAAATTTAATTTGGAGGTCCCTAGCTCAAGTTATGACCATTTAACGGAAACTAGTAATTTAAAGGCTAAAGATTTTTAAGTTTGACCACGGGGTTGACTTTTTGATATCGGAGCCAGAATCTGATTCTGGAAATTTGAACAGCTCCGTTATGTCATTTATGACTTGTGTGCCAAATTTGAAGTCATTCCGGGTTCATTTAATATGTTCTGGCATGAGTTTTGCAAATGGAAAAGTTTAAAACTCAAAGTCCGAATCGAGGTGTGAATCGCAATTTCGATGTTATTTGATGTGATTTGAGATCCCGAGTAAGTCCGTATTATGTTACGGGACTTGTTGGGATAATTGGATAAGGTCCCGAGGGGCTCGGGTGAGTTTCGGATAGCCCACAGATGTTTTGAACTTAAAAAATTTGCTGGTATAACTGAACCTGTTGCAGGCCTCTGATCTCGCAATTGCGAGATCAGGCATCGCAAATGCGAACCAAGCAGGTATGGCAATTGCGAGATTTTTATCGCAATTGCGAAGAAAGCCTACGCCAGCAGTTCTCGCAATTACGAGTTTATCTTTGCAATTGCGAAGGGCCAATTATCGCAAATGCGACATAATCTTGGCATTTGCGAAGGTAGCGGGATTGTGAAGGGCATCGCAATTGCGATTGTTTCTTCGCATTTGCGAAGCTCAGGTCGCAATTGCGACACCTGCAGCTGAACAAAATGAATTTTTGACGGGATTTTTGATTCATTTCCCAAATCTTCAAAACCTAAAACCTCAAGAGGCGATTTTGGGCGATTTTCACGGGAAAACATTGGGGTAAGTGTTTCTTATCCTATATTGATTATATTTTATGATTTCATACTCATTTATATCACGAATCCGTGAATTTATGGAAGAAAAATCAGATTTTTCAAAAATTTTCCAAAAATGAAAAATTAATATTTGAAGGTCCATCTGATATCGGAATTGGATAATTTTTATATGGTTGGACTCGTCTCGGAATGAGTGTTCGGATTTCATAAGTTTTTCTGAGATTTGAGACGTGGGTCCCACTGCCGAATATTTTAATGAATTTCAGATTTTATCCGAAAAATTAGTAAATTCATATGGAATTAATTCCTATGATTAGTATTGAATATATCGAATTGTTTGTGAATAAATATGAAGATTTTGGAGACAAATTTAAAAGGAAAAGCTGTGGTTGAGTAATTGATTAGAATTTGCAAAGCGAGGTAAGTGTCGTGGTTAACCTTGACTCGAGGGAATAGAACCTTTAAATTGTTTGTTATGTGAATTGCATGTGAACGACGTATAGGCGAGGTGACGAGTGTCTATACGTTGTCAAATTAATTGTTTGCCTACTTACTAGAAAAATCATAAATTATTTTAAATCATTAATTAATTTTTATAATAATTGTTTTTCTCCTATTCTTTGTCAAATATTAATTCTTGAATTCCTGCATTAATTGTTACATGCTACTTGAATTATGTGACTTAATTGTTATTTGATATTTAGAATATTAAATATTAAACTGCCTATTTTCTCCCTCATTTCTATAATAATTTGCTATTTGACATTGTTTGTTTTATAATTAAATCAGAATTATTGTATACTTGTTGTCTTATAATTTTATATCAATTGTTGCAGTTATTTGGGAAATTTCTTCTATAAGAATTGGTAAATGAATATGTTGGAGGAGCGGGTTGCACGCCGCAACACAATTGATTATAATGAATATATTGGAGGATCGGGTTGCATGCCGCAACAGAATTAATTATAATGAATGTATTGGAGGATTGGGTTGCCCCAACAGACTTATTAAAAAGTCCATATTGGAAGATCAATTTGTACGTCGCAACAGACTTATTAAAAAGTCCATATTGGAGGATCGGGTTGCACGCCGCAACAGACT